ACAGGAGAGGTCTGCTGCGCCACGTGGGCCAGCTCCCTGGCCAGGATCTCACTCATGCCACAGTGGCTGTGGATAGACTGATAGCACTGACATTTTAACCCCTAGGCCACCAGGGAGGCCCTCATTTGTTTTTAAAGGAAAAATATTGATCAAATATAGCAGAATATGAATATCTGTAAAATTTGGGTGGTAGATGCATGGATATTTGAATTTTTTTTGTTTTTGTGTATAATGAACATTTTTATAACTTATACAAAATGATGTTAAAAAGAGAAAAATATTGAATATCAAATAAAGTAATAAATCTATAGGTGAATAAATTAATGATGAGTGGGTACTACAGATATTAGAGCATATTACACAAACAGTGGTAAAATATAACAGCCACAAGCACCATTAGCAAATATCTAGTCTTACTCCACAACTGGCACATGTGAAAACTGATACCTAAAGAAATTAAATGACTTTAGGGGCCTTCCTGGTGGCACGAGGGGTTAAGCACAGCACTGTGAGGCTATCCGCAGCCTCTGCAGCACGAGTTGGATCCCTGGCTGGCCAGGGAGGTGACCCACATGGTGCGGCAGACATCTCCTGTCTCGTCCACTGCTCCCTTCAGCGGTATATTTCATTCAGCCTGCCTGTTCTGTTCCCCACTCTGTCTCTGATGAATCCTCTCACCCACTGCACCTCTGGCCTGTACCCTAGTTCTTGTATGCATAAATAAATAAATCTTAAAAAAAAAAGAAATTAAATGACTTTAAAGTCACACAAGTAGTAAGAAGTGAAACCTGGACCTTCTAACTGGCAGTCCAGGACACCTTCCCACCATGCATCAGGTACTGCTGCCCCCTCAATTTGAAGATACAAAAGATTACAGACATCAGGAATGGTGTAGAGAACCAACAGCATGTCCCTCAATAACTTGAGTCATTCCCAAAAAGTGTGTCAGTGTAAAGAGTAACATTTATAGACTCTGGGAAAACTAGATAACTACTCATTTATGTTGGGGCTTAACTTATACCCTGGATAACCTCTGCCAGTTGCCAATTATGGACAACCACCATGAAATAAAAATTTCCCAATGGCAACTCTTAACCCTGTTTATTACTTCATTGGTAGAAGACTACACTACTTATCTCATCTTTGAAGTTGAGACCTCCTCAGGACCTTACCAGTTCAATGAGCACCAATTTCCCTTCTAAACTATCATGACATCTTGAGCAATGTCCAGATACCTTGCTGCAGAAAATCACTGGCAGAGTCTGCAAAAAGTGAACTTCCCATTTATTCTGTTATCCTTTCTTCAGCTACATAGGTTATCCATGGATTCATTCATGAAGGACACATTATCTGAACTGAAGACTGTCTTTTCAAAGTCCATTCCCAAGCTTGGTGTTTTGATGTAGTTAACAATAGCTAATTTTGTTGAACGCTCACTAATGGATAGGCATTGTTCTATGCAACCCACTATTGATTCATTTGATTATTAATTAATTAATTAATTCACAACACTGTGAGGTAGACACAATAATTACCATTATTTTTAAAAGCAAGGAATCATAATCACAAGATTTAGGAACATTTTCTAAGGTCATGCTAATAAAATCATGGAAGAGGATTCAAACTAGGCAATTTAGTTCACAAGACTGAACAATCGTATGTTATACTAAATTTAGTTTAGTTTTTTGAATGCCTACTCATTATTGGAAAGGAATTAGAGAGAAATGGAGACAGGAATTAGAAATGTCTCTCTTACTTTCTATCGCACCAAAACTATAATATATATATATATATATATACAAAATATATCACATTTTCTTTATCCATTCATTTGTTGATGGAAACATTTTTTCGCCATATCTTGGCTATTGTGAATAATGCGTGCATTGAAATCCAGTGTGCAGACATCTCTTCAAGACAGTGCTTTATTTTCTTTGGATATATATCCAGGAGTTGGATTGCTGGATGACATGAGATAATAGCTCATTTTAAACTTTTTGTGGAACCTCCATACTGTTTCTCATGGATTTATTTATGGGCTCTCTATTCTGCTCTTAAGTATCATAATCTATATATCTGCTTTTATGTCATTATCATAAATTTAGACTACTATGGTTTTGTAATATAGTTTGAAGTCAGGAATTGTGATGCCTCCAGCTTTATTGCTTGTTCAAAATTACCTTAGCTGTTTAGCTTCTTTTACAGTTGGGTATGAATTTTAGGGTGGTTTTTTCTATTTCTGTGAAAAATACCTTTGGAATTTTAATAGGGATCTCATTGAATCTATGAATTTCTTTGGATAGAATGAATTTTTTTTTTTATTTTTAAGTACAGTCTGATGATAAACCACTATGGTGCTGTTGAATAGGAATAGCTACAAACTGTGCCCCAACCACTGAATGAGAACTGTGAGGATCTCTAGGTGATGTTTTCAGTTTTTACATTCTGTGTAGGGCTCCCTTGTCCCTCCCTGGCCTGGTTCCACCGGCCTTGGAGTCCCACTTTATTTCCCTCTCCTTTCTCCTCAACGGGAATGATTCCAATCCATCAGCACAGAATACCTTTCCTTTTATGTCTTCTTTGATTGCTTTCACATTGTTTTATAGTTTTTAGTGCACAATCTTTCAGCTCTTTAATTTATTCCTAAGTACTTTTGTTATTACTATTGCAAATGGGATTGCTTCTGAGTATCTTTTATAGATAACTTATTGCTAGTGTATAGAAATGCAACTGATTTTTATGCAATGATTTTTTTCTACTGCAACTTTACTCAATTCATTTATTAGTTTTAAGGTTTTTTTTTTTTTGGTAGACTCTAGGGTTTTCTATATATAAGATCATCTACAAACAAAATTTTACTTCTTTCTGATTTTGATGACTTTTACCTCTTTTTCTGGTGTAATTTCTCTAATTAGAACTTACAGTACATACTGCAAAGATGTGATGGGCGTGGGCACCCTTGTCTTCAGAGATCTGATTTTAGAGGAAAAGATTTCAGTTTTTCACCATGGAGTATGATATTAGCTATGGACTTGTCATATGCAGTTTTTATTATGTTGAAGTATATTATGTTGGGGTAATTTGTTGAGAGTTTTTAATCATGAAAGAATGTTAAATTATGTCAAATGTTTCTCCCACCCCTATCATGTACCTCCAGCACTCTATGTAATGAGAAACTTAGAGGAAAAACACTTTGGTGATGTCCATCCAACCAAGTGTCCATTATTCATTTGCTCCTTTTTTATCTCACACGTATATAGTCCAACTTCTTTTGTCTAGCTTTTCATTCATCTAGTCTTAAAATCCAAGCAACATGGATGTTAGAAATAATTTCCTTTAGTGACTCAAAAATCACCATATCAGAGGGGCTTTCTTCACAATCTCATAAAAACTGCCCCACCCACACCTTGGCCATTTCCTTCCCCAATTACATTGCTTTATTTTTCTCTAGATCTTTTTTCACTTGCTATATCTTACATTTATCTGTTTATTTCCTGTCTCCCTTCCCTCATGTAAGTAAGTACTACAAAGATGGGATTTTATTCTGTTTGCTGATATATCTTCAGTGTCTGCATTAGTGTCCAACAATAAACCTAGCTGTGCATTTAATTGGTATTTCAAAAACCCAATACCAGAACCTACAGAACTTCCTATTTTTAATTATTTATTATTTATATAATACTTCTATTATTTATTCAAAGCAGTCCTTGCTGCCTTTGAAACTACCTGATACCATATTTATAGAATTTTTTCCTGTAGTTAAGCAAGCTTTTCTGGTAAATATCAATGGGAATTTTGATCTGCTACAAATCATTCTATCTTGTCTTGAATGCCTTGCCTCTTTCTGTCCCAACCCATTAATCCAATCCAATCTTCCTGTTTTCTGAAGCCTCGGCACATGAGAATGGATGAAGGCAGGATTCTCCACTGTTTGACCTGATGTTTTAATGACCTCAGGGCCTGGGAATAATGTTTCTGCTCATGCCATTGCCTGTTTTTGTTTCTCACAGCAGGTTCAGTTTTTTGATTAAGGTTTCTAACTCATCATCTCTTGTAAGGAAGATCTGATAATCTGTCCTTTAGGTGTCACGATGTAATGAGTTTAAATTTAAGGCTTATTTATTAATTCCCCTTCAATAATTAATGGACACTATTGCCTATCATTTCAAATATATTTGGCTAACCTGTTACATAGGTACAACATGACAGAGATTGGTAATGTCCTGATTTGGATTAGTTGAAATAAAGCATTGTCAGCCAACTTTCTTATTCATTAACTATGAGTATGCCACAAAACTATGTTGAGTGTATCAGACAATGGAATACAAACTTTTTTTTTTTTTGAATACAAACTTTTAAAAACCTATGGTGATGGACTGACTTTGGCAGAATAAAAAAGAATAAGGGGAAATATGGAATCCTATATTCAGATCAAAAGTCAATAAATAAAACTACTTAGCTAAGAACAAGATAAAAGAACATGGCTTAAAAACAAACTTTGGGGTTTACTTATCAGGAACCATAAGTGAACTCTAAGGGTGCTGGGGTTGCTAAAAATAGTGGAATCTTAGAATCTTCTAAAGTAGTGGTATTCAGGTTGATTCTACTTTTCTTGGCCATACCACATCTAAATTATCCCAGGTCCGGCCTTATTCATAAAGTGGACATGGATGAACAAGGACCCATATAAGGACAGTGAAGACCTTAAATTGAAATGTTGGAGAAAATATCTATTTAATAAATGAACTTAAATATTAGAAGGCTTGCCATACAAATTTACTCTGTATATTCCTTGAAGACAGAATGACCCAACTCATATAGAGATATAATTTGGGACCAATGACTATGGCATTTTAATTATGAGAGCTATTGAAAGATGAAGTTGGCTGCTCTCAGAGAGAGCTCCCTATGCTTGGATGTGTTGAAACAGAGGATGGTTGTCTTACAATGAGGACTATTGTGACAAAACAGAAGGTTACAGGAGATGACTACTAGGATTGCTTCACCTTTGAGATGCTCAATTTCAGAGTAATTTTGTAGCTCTACCTCCATGCTGTGAGAGGCACTGAATTGTGGAAAAAAGAATGGGGAGACTTTCCTTGGCCCCTAGAACCTGAAATCCTAACGAGAGTAAGTGGATCAAAGAGGAATAAGGAGCACTGGTTCTCATCATTTTCTCTTTTTTAAGTAACAGACTCCTCCCTCTTGTCTTTAAAAAATCAAATGGTTTCTAGAACCCAATTTGGGAAATAAATAGCTAATTGGGTGAACAGGACTGGGGGTAGTCAATGATCTGACCTCCCCCACCTCACTTGGCTTCTTCAACTCCAAAGATGACCTAGACTTCCCTGAAACTCAATGTGAAACTACTAAAGGGACTGGAGAGAAATCGCTTGGATTTGAAAGAAGAAGGGAATTGGAAAAGTCTAGGAAAACAATGTCCAGTTGCTTTAGGTCATTAGATGTACTGTGATCACATAAGTAAATAAGTAAATACAGAAACAATAGAAACATATGCTGAGGAACTTTTCCAGCTCACTTTTCTTCTACCTATTTTGAAATGCCTCATTAATTCAGTCTCCTTATTTCTCAGTTTTGACTCCATGCCTTAAATCCCACTTCCCTCTGCTTCTTCAGATTTAGTGACCTCGTGTTTTAGTTGCTTCTTCAAACAGGCCCCACTTCTCAGGGAAGAGAAATGGTGGAAAGTTGTAGAGTTTATATGGGCAGAAAACCTAAATGTTAGGATCATTCATCTAAAATGGTAGGTGGGGGCTCCCTGGTGGCCTAGGGGTTAAGTCTCAGTGCTGTTGGGGAGCTAACCCACTTATGGCACATCAGACCTCTTCTGTCTCACCTACTGCTCCCCTCAGCAGTGTATTTCAGTACATCTGCTTGTTCTGCTCTCCACTCTGTATCTGGTGAATCCTCTCACCCACCCCACCCCCCTTTCCTCTGATCTATGCCACAGTTCTTCTATGCAAAAATAAATAAATAAATAAATATTTAAAAAGAAAAAATAAACTGGGAGGCCTGGCTACCCCAGAGTAATCTACCTATGTAATTCCCAAGTAGGGATGCTCAAAGAATCATGTCAGAAGCTGTGGCAGGAACATCCAGGACAAGCTTGTGTTTCAGTGACGTAGAGAACATCACATTCATACCACCTTTTATTCACTGCACAGTTGTAATCTTATATTTTACTGATAGTTGGGAATGTGGGTAAAGGACTCTATAAAAATCATTTGGGTTTTTTTATGGTGGCAAAGCTCATGTTTACTACAGTAATACTGAGCATCTCCCCAATCATTTCTTTGGAAAATAAAGCAGAAAAATCTATTTTGAGGATATCTGTCTCTACTTCTAATCTGACATTTGCCTTCTCTGGTTTTCTAAGTGGTCTCTTCAGAATCTGAGGGCTAAAGCTGACCAGACCCGAACATCCTTTTTGTTTTAGAATGACCTGAAAATGTGATGAGTAAATAAAAATTTGCCTGGATTTTATAACATCATTCTGCTCAATTGTCTGATTTGTGGGTGAAATCCATTTAAGTCTCCAACTTGGTAAAGAGGCATATGACTTTTACATGGTCTCTAGCTTAGCATTTCCAAGGAGTATGATGCATCCAAGAAAAAATTGAAAAATTATCCAGTTTGTTCCCCAGTAAGCATACTCAGTTTGCTATTTTATTCATATGACATTTGGGAATGAATTACTTTCTCTAGAGGTAAACTAGATTCCTAAATTATTAGAAACTCAAATGTAAGATACCCCAGTGGAAGTGTATGAAGTGTCAGTTTCCTTTTCAACTGAATTGAGTGTCTATGACATGACAGTGTTTGGGTTATAAATTACTAAATAACAAACTGCCCTAAAACTCACTGACTGATAGAGGAATTTATTATTATATCTCATGGCTCCATATGTTAGCTGGGCTCATCTGGGAAGTTTTGTTTGGGGTCTGTCATGGGATTACAGTGAGATGCCAGCCAGGAGCAAGGTCATCTGAAGGTGCATGTGGACTGGTTACCCAAGATGGCTCAAGGCTGGCAGTTGATCCTGGTTGGCATCTAATAACTCAGCTGGGACAATTAACTTGAGTTTTATAGACTTCATCTCTCCATGTCCTGGGGGTTCTCATTGCATAAAGGCTGAGTACGAGTCAGACAGTGAGTATTCCAAGAGACCTGGGAGAATCGGCAAAATTTCTTATGATTTTTGTCTCAGAATTGATGCAGTGTCCTAAAGACTGAGTTATTCAGTGTTGAAAAACTAGAAAGGGTGTTCTAAGACACTAAGGACAAGAACCTGGCATGAGTGAAGGCTTTGACTATGAATAAGTGTGGATCTACAAGTACTACGGTGTTATTAGAGTTGAAAGTTTGCAGTTCATGGCAGGAGAAGGGCTAGAAATCCAAGCACAGGCAGAAAACCAATAATTTTGTATATTTTTATATGCTTTGATAAGAAATCCGATCTTATATATTGGAGTCATTGGGACTTTAAAGTAGAGATATGGCTGGTCATAGAAGGCTTTTAGATATATCCAATGTAGCAAGTGGATTCAGAGAAAGCAACACCCCAAAACTTGAGCCACATAGACCTATTATGACTCTATAGTATTCCAAGTGAGAGAGGCTTCATGTCTAAACAAAGACAATGATCAAGAGGATGGAATAAGGAAATAGAATTAGAAATACTATGGCAAAATTTGGCTTATTGGGTGACTGAATTTTGGGATTGCGTTCAAGGAAATTTGATGTGTTAATTACCAGATTCCTCTCTAGGGCTTGAGGGTCTCAACTTCTCAGTGAGAAATTGGTGAGGCTACCCGAGATAATCTAAGAGTTTCCTGAATCTATAAAACACTTGAGATTCTGATAGTAGAATCACATTTAATCTTGAACAGAACTCTCTCTCTCTCTGTAGCTCTTGAAAATAGTAAAGGTAAGGAGAGAAGAAAACAGAGTCAATCCAATGTAAATCAGAATGGAGTATAAAAAAGAAAAGAAAAATGCTATTATAAAAATGCAAAATACAATCATAGAAACAAGTAAAAATATGTTATCACCATTACGAATGGCTTAAAGATATCCATTAGAACACTGGGATTCTCAGAGTGGGTGAAAATATATTCCACTAGTATTTAAATATGTATGAATGTGTCTTATGTATATGTATGTGTATGATTATCTATTCATATCCATCTATCCATCTATCTATCTATCTATCTATCTATCTATCTATCTATCTATCTATCTATCTATCTATCATGATAAAGGATGTAGAGGCAAATAAAATGAAAATAAAACAGGTTACCTATATTAATGTAGTCAACACATATTAATGTCATAGATTCAAGATAAAAACCATTGTTTAAGAAAATTCCACACCCCAAAAAATTTGCATGTGTCAAATATATATAAACCCTAAACTGACAAAATTAGAGAGGACAATAACAAATATATAATCATAATAATTTCAACACACTTTTCCCAGAAATTAAGATTTTTAACTAAATAATATGTTGCTGGGCCTCTTTGGTGGCCTAGGGGTTAAGTCTCAGTACTGCCACTGAGAAGGCCTCCTACAACAACCTGAGTTCAATCCCAGGCCAGGGAGCTACCCACATGGCACAGCAGACCTCTCCTGACTCACCCACTGCTCTCCTCAGCAGTGTATTTCAGTCAGTCTGCCTGTTCTGTTCCCCACTCTGTCTCTGGTGAATCCTGTCACTCCCTGCACCTCTGGCCTGCACCCCAGTTCTTCTATGAAAGAATAAAATCTTTAAAAAAATTATATTACTAAGTACAAAAAATTTAAACAATGCAGTCAAACACCATATTTGCGAGGTTAGAAGAGGTGATACAATAACACTTTAATGACAAAATTTTAATGACTTCATAGTCATGATTTATTTATCACTTATATTTTGTCCAGATATTCTGGGGCTGTGCCTCCACAGAAGGCTGATGGAGACTTATGATCTTTAACGTTTCAAATGTCTCCTATTTTCTTATTTAAGACTTTAATTTCTACCTTCTATTCATAACCTTAATTTCTGAGCTTATTGTTTTTTAAATTTTGGGTATCCCTTTGGTGAGCTTTTGTGAATTCTTTTGTATCTCTTTGATTTACCTTTCTGCATTTTTTTCTATCTTACTTTTTTTTACTTTATTTTAGCAATTTTGAATTCTCTGTCTGACGGGGAGATGTAATCTTCCTAGTCTTTGTGGGTTGGACTTTGGAGAATTATTTTCTCCTTGTGATGTCATTTCCTCCTGAAGTCTCAAGTTGCTATGTGTCATTCTTTTTGTCTACCTATTTTGCTGTTTTAAGTTTCCCTATTTTCAAATATATCTGTAGCAGCAACTTAGAGTTGAACCACTTTTACTTTTCCTGCAAGAGGTGTTTTGGTTTTACTTTTTTGGCCTTTGCTGATTTCTGGATATGCTGAGAACTGTTTTTTGCAGTTGCTGATTCAGCACTTTGGGGGAGGATCCTGGAGGGGTTCAGTCATTCTTGCAAACGTGCTGGGTAGGGGCGGGATTGACTGTTGTTCGTGGCACCGCATATATCTCTTTTCTCTAGGGTTGCAGATCTGAGACGCAGCAGTCTGTGTGCTTTCAGTGTACTTTAAGTGGTCAGTGCTAGTCCTGAGGGGTAAGGAAGTGGCACAGTCTACAGTAACTTCTGTGTTCTTATCCTTACAGGTCCCCAACCTCGGGGAACACCCCATTTCCTTAAAATAGGTTTTTCCCCATTCAAGGGTATGTGCCTATGAATAATTTCCACTCTGCCCTCCCCAAAGCCCTTGGCCAGGCTAGAAACCCTGCTGTCTGTGTGCCCTGCCTGGACAGCAGCCACTAGGTGTTCATCTCTACTCACCTCCTACTCAGTAAAGCTTAACTCTTCTTCACCTCTCCTCTGCTGTGTTCTGTGCTGGTGTCTGATATCCAAGGGGCATTTGAATCTCACTCTAGACCACAAGTCTCTCTTGATATAGTGTCTCTCTGGTTATTTATTTTTTTTTTGTAAAGATTTATTTATTTATGTATACACGAACTGGGGTACAGGCCAGAGGTGTGGGGGGTGAGAGGATTCACCAGAGACAGAGTGGAGAACAGAACAGGTGGGTTGACTGAAATACGCTGCTGAGGGTAGCAGCAGGTGATTCAGGAGAGGTCTGCTGCGCCATATGTGGGTAGCTCCCTGGCTGGGGATTGAACTCGTGCTGCGGTGGCTGTGGGCAGCTTCATAGGTTGTGTCTTAACCCCTTGTGCTACTAGGGAGGCCCTCTCTAGTTAGATGTTCCTCTTGGTAAGTGAAGAAAGGGACCTCTGCTACAGCCATTTGGTTACTTTTGAGAAAAAAGTTTCAGTGGCAAGATAGCTTTAAAAAAAAAAAGAAACCATATATATTTTAAAATAAACATTTCTGAATTTATTATATATGTCTGTTCACATGTTTTCTTAGATCTCTTTAAGCTACTACTTTGTAGTGGTGATAACATACATTTTCCTTAAAGACTGCTTTATTATAGAATACAAAATCTGCTGTTTTTGGGACTCACATATAATGCCTTATGGAATAAATTCTAAAAAATAATGCTTGCATTTTTCTATAATACAAAAAAATTAAAAAAAAAATAGAATGGAAGTTGACCATAATCTTAACATAATGTTTAGATACTTTCCCTTCTATTATGGATAAAGAGGATCATATCCTGTATATAGTTTTCATCCTGATTCTTTTTTTTTTTTACTTAACACAAAAATATTTGCCTATATCATTAAAAGTTCTTCAAAAATAGAATCATATACATTCCCCATCATTCACTTAACCACTCCTCATTGGTCTTAGATTTGGTTAAAAACTATAAAATGTGTTTCTGAATGAAACTCCAAAACACTTTTGTAAAATAGAGACCCTTTGGTGATATGACCAGGGTATGTCTAACACAATCAAAGAGAAAGACGGACATCTGGGACCTCAAGGTCATATCCATATAAACCAAAATACTTGATAGGAAGCATCAACCAGGAGCACAGACTAAATGCTTCCTCTTTTCTCTGTCATATGATGATGTTGGCAAAAGGTATCCTTAACTGACATAAGTTGAGTCTACTTTGTTGTTTCTTTTTCTTTTGTATAGAACTGGCGTATAGACCAGAGGTGTGGCCTATACAGAGAGGCCTATACCTACAGAGGTGTGGGGGTGAGAGGATTCACTAGAGACAGTGGGGAGCAGAACAGGCATATCTACTGAAATACACTGCTGACGAGAGAGGTCTGCTGTGTCACATGTAGGTTAGCTACCTGGCTGACGATCAAACTCAGGCTGTACTGATGTGAGTGCTAAGACTATGGGCCACCAGGGAGGCCCATAATTGAGTCTACTTTGGAAGAAATTCTCTGTTTTTTTAATATATTGATGAGAGTAATGATCTTTCATTAAAGAGGCCCCGTTCTTAGTTCTATCGGCTGAGCAGGATAAAAAATTCAAGGAAAAAGGACCTTGATGATAAAGACCTTCACAGAGAGGGAGACTCTAAAGGAATTTATTTGGTATTGGAAGAAATGCGGGGAGTCCTCAGGCACAAGGCAAATACCAAAGGACCATTTTCAGGTGTGAAAAATGAAAAATTTTCCAAAGGTTCATTAAATCAAACAGCTTACCTTGGAGACGGTATCCATGGTGAGCCTTGCTTTCCTTCTTCTAGGCCAATAAGCCCAGGAAGGAGCTGCGTTGGCGTTGGCCGAGGGCACCCGGCAGCGATGGAGGTGTGCCGCCCACAGCACAGGCTCCTTCTTCCTGGCCGTGGGAGCAGGTACAGGACTTCCTCCCCTGGTTTCAACTGGCAAGGGCTTGAGGTTTCTTTTTGTTGGACTCACTGCAGATGGAAGCAACAAAGGCAGTGGAAGCCTGTAATCCTTTACGAATGGTCTGAAAAGAAACCACAAGGTCTAGAAATTCAAGGGTTTTGGCAAAAGTGCTGCTTTGTTTTTCATGTTTCTAAATGGATCTGGTCAATGCCTTGGGTGGCAAACGGTAAACAGCACTGGGGATAGTGCGTGATGTCGTTTGGTGGGTTGGATTGGGGTTTCTGTGGGACTAGACACACCCCATATGTTATTTTTGCAGTTATTTTGTGGCTCTACCATGGGAGCTTGGATTCCCAAGGATCCCTGTCTGGGCTGATTTTATTAGAAGAAAAATAAGCTCATCCCTATTTCTCACCAGCACATGCTTGGATGCTTTCTTTTTCTGATCAATTACATGTGCCAAGTTACAGCACTCTGCAACAAACAGCGATAACCCAACTCTGATTTCCTGAGTCACGCCTATATTCTTATTGAAATGAGTGGGGAAGCACCATGGACCAGGCGCTCACTCTGTTGTTTGTTCTCCCTCCCTCCCTCCATTCCCTCCTCCCTTCTTTCCTGCCATTCAAAATACATTTATTAAGCATCTCTCATGAGTATACTCCCCCCTGAGGCATTGTGCTAGAGCATACACTGGAGAATAAAAGCAGATCTAGCCCTGCTCGGATGACCTATATTAAAAACTAGGATAAATGCTTTGATGGAAACAGGTTATCACCTGAGAATATGTGACATGAGGGCTGGTTCCAACAGTTCCATGGCGGACCTAAGCAAGTAGATACCACTGGGCTCACATGCAGCTTGACAGGGAGGCCTGAAGTGTGAGGTTATAGGGATTCCTCTCCTTGTGGTCTTCAGAGGTGGTGACTGCTTTGCCACAGGTCAGAGAGAGTCTGGTTGATCAGATATAGTCAATACAGAGATGTTGCCTCCAGTTATGTTATCAAAGTGGCAACTATCATCACCATCATCATTATACATGTTACAAAGTGCTTACCTGTTCCAGAAGGTGCTGTAAGAACTCAAATATTTATTATACTGGGTTGCGCTATCTATATAAGGATCCTTCCTTGGGAAGCAAATGAGAGAACCATGGATGGAATCCTGGCCCTTAAGGTAAACTGTTTCTCTATTAAGAACACTTCTAATACTGAACTTGTGGGTTTTCCATACCAAGTCATTCTCTATTCTCTATGGACACCAACTGGGCACCCTACAATTAAGTGTAATTCTCACAAACCTGGAATTAGTGCAGACCCCACAGATTTAAGGGCTCAGTCTTATAAGAGACTGATGCTATCGCAAGTCTGAGGCACCCAGGTTACACATCAGTGTATCTTGACTGCAAATTGTGGGTTCCTGTAGTTCCTTTCTCAGATTTGATAATTTGCTACTACCACTTGCAGAACCCAGGGAAATACTTTACTTACTATTACCAGTTTATTATAAAGACACAAATGAACAGTTCACAGGGCAAAGTCTGGAAGGATCTCAAGTATAGAAGCTTCTGCCCCTGAGGTATAAAACACTGAGGTATATACTGAGGTATAAATTCACCAAAACCAGAAACTCTCTAAACCATGTTGTGCAGGGTTTTTATGGCAGTTCCATCACATAGACAAGACTGATTAAATCAGGGGCCACTGATGATTGCCTCTTTAATTCTTACCTAGAATAAGATAGTGAACATAACTTATCTCTGTTGTGATGTTTTAGCAACTCCAAGTTGATCATTTGTATATGTGAGGATTAAATAAAATAGACTGAAATCTAGAAGTTTTAAAAATCTGCCCTGAAGCTTTGGCAATCTTTTGCAACTGTATAACCTATAATTGACAGCTGTGTTATTTGTGTTTCCAGATGAGGTAGTTGATGGGCCCCCAACTATTAGTGACAATTCACTGGGAAGTTGATATCAGAGCATGGTGGTGGTGGTTGTTCTTTTCATAGCTGTTTTTGTTGAGGCTGATGCCTCCCTCTTTCGTATCTCACAACTAGATACTCATACCATCTTCCTTCAGTTGAAAGGTTAACGAACAACAAAATAATAACTGCCTGCATACAGGACTACAAACCACAGAGAGGAGAACTTGGAAAAGTTATTTCCTGAAATAAAAAGACAAAACCACAGAGCACTTTAACAGTCACAAAACTCACAGACTTAACACAATTCACATAAGAACTTATTTAGGACACATGTTTGTGTATTTAAAGAAACAGAAGAATGACAGAAAAATAAACTTGAGCAGATTATGAATGCATTTAGCAATCATTTCAAAGGGAGAACTAGAAAGTCGTATCTGCTGCCTGAGATTTTAATAGTGGAAGAGTTATTGGTATTAGCTTTTAAACAACAAATCTTTGAAACAAATCTTTCAACTCCCAGGGATGATAGCAATTGATGGACCAATGGGAGTCAAGTGGGGTGGGCAGGAGATGTGACTGGTTAAGGAAACTGGTGATGCAGAACAACGAATTAATTCATGTTACACGCTATCTGTTACTCGGCTATTGGGTTAGCACTGAGATTTGAGACCTTGCAATGGCTTTCAAACAGGCCTAGGGACCTACTCTTTTCTCTGTCTTCTGCTTCTCCTAGTACTTTTTCACAGTACTGGTAGAATTAATGGTAAAAATTGTGTTAAACTTAGGAGCAGTGGGAGATGACTGTGGCTAGGATGTCACTCCGTTAAAGCCACTGGGGGAACTTGAGAAGTCAGGAATGGCATCTGGTTCTACACATAGGCTGCCTAAGCCATACCTTAGCTGAGTGTGGCATGGTTATTCCCTGCATGGATTTCCCTTTCCCTTGTGACTCATCTCTTAGTCTCGATCATTGAGCCATTGAAAAGGGTCTCCAGCAGCCAGTCATCAGAAAATCTCTTTTCAGTGAACTTTACCCAGTAACCCACTGGTTATTAGCTCGAGGGAACAAATTTGTTTTTAGAACCAACCTGCTCTTCTGGAAGACATCAACAGTGGTTCTAATTGCCATCCTGATTACATCGAGCTGTGTGACTTTCTGGATTTTCTATTTCCTTCCCATAGGACATAGAGTTGAATTGGAATAAGAATGTATAAGATTCTTTCCAGATCTAACATTCTATGAAATTGAGTGTTTACAATCCCATCTGGAAATATATAAACCCCTCTATGACTTACTTGATAATGACAAGGAAAATCCAGAGCAAAAAAGTTCAAGTTCTTGTACAACATCTCCAAGCAGGCTTGTTTCTGAGGTTGTTTCTTTGACTTTTCCATGAGGTGTCCAGTTGTCTTTCTCAGGGAGCCAGCCAAGGCACCAGCTGGAGGCAGTTACGGGAAAAGAGATGATGCAGATTTTTAACAATGCAATTAAAATCATGTTTTGACAGTCTTATTCCTAAGGGCAAAAACAAGGCAGGATGGGTGGTATTTGGGCTGCTTTTGATCCTTGTGATAGGATGGTCTCATTATCTCTAAAAAATAAAGTAGATGTACTCAACAGCCCTCCCCAGTTGCATGCAAACTTTTACTGCTACTAGTCCCTAACCCCTTGGATATTTTCTCCATGTTAGGAGAAAATATTTATTAATCATTCTCAGGGTTACTGGTCATCATATACTCAATAGTAACATTACAATTGCCTTGGCTATTTATCAAATAGCTCATTTTTTTTTTAAGAACCTAGATTAATACTGGCTATTCAATTTTGTTTTATTTCTTTTTCCTTAATGAAAATTCTCCTGACTCCTTGAAAATCTGTGATGCAGGGAAAGGTTAGCTTAACTGAGCTCCCCTTGTGGTTCCTCAGTTTTTCTGACATTACATCCTCATAATGCCGTCTTAAAAAAAAATAAACCCTTTATATTGGAATAGTTTTAAATTTACAGAGAGGTTGTGAAGATAATTCAGAGTGTTTCCATATACCTCAGAACTAGCTTCACCTATTAACATCCTGCATAAATATGATACATTTGTTACAATTTTAACGACCCAATATTAATATGCTATTTTTAACTACAGCCCATACTTCCTTCAGCTATCCTCAGCTTTTACCTAATGCCCTTTGTTTCAGGATGTCTTGCAGGTTACCACACTGCCTTTACTTGTCCTGTCTTCCTGAGAACCTACTGGTGAACATGAATCAACAACAGTAACACCGATAACCATTTTGCGGCCTCGTGCTGTATTGAGCAATGTGCAAAACTCTTCACGTGTATTGACATATTTAACTCTCACAACATCCACATGAGGTAGGTCCTATTATTAGTGCCTTTTTTCAGCTGAGGAAACTGGACCTTAAAGGTTGAAGCAGTTTCCCTATAGTTACATGGAGTATGTGGCAGAGCGGAGAGACCAACGCAGGAGGGTCGATTACAGAGGTGACACTATTTTTAAAAAAATTTTATTTTATATACTTTTTACATCATTGTTCATTTCTGTACAATGCATCCTTTCTCATCTGGATTATAGGCCCTGTGAAATTCCCACCACCCAATTCACCCGTGCACCATCACTGTAGTCCCTTGGGCTCTTCCCGCCCTGTTTTGATCCTACTCCTTCCTTTCCCCCTGGAGAATGTCTCTGATTTATAGCTACCTTTTGCTTTTGATTTTCACTTTATTATAATTACTTTTTTCCCCCTAATCCCTTATTTGGACCCTCTGCATTCCTCCTATAAGTGGGTCTTATGGACCAACATTGGCAATAAGAAAAATGATGAGAAATCCCTTAGTTCTGTGTAGTCCTTTACAGAGCACTTTCACAAATATCAAAGTCACATTCTAACATCCCTTGTAACCAGAATAATTGGCACAGGTGCTATCTGTTACAAGGTTATCCCTTGTAACCAGAATAATTGGCACAGGTGCCTAGCCCCTTGGTGGGGGCTTCTATACAGTCTCAGCAAAGCTGACCCAGTGTTATGATTATGCATGTGGGTATGTCTCAGCTTTGCCTGTCATGCTCTCTTTTTAATTTTTTTATTAAATTTTTTTTTTTCATATATCATTGCAGTCCCCATAGTTCTCTCACCACCATTACTACCAGGGCCTGTATGCCTTCCCCCATCATGTCTTTTATATGGTTATCACTTGATAAATACTCGTTAAGCTGGGTTCTTCTTTAATACATTAAAAAAAGAATATTAAGGAATTAATGAAAGACGATTTCATTTTCCATGTATATTGTAGGTAGGACTTAGAAATCTTTTTTAAAAAGTTCCTTTTTCTACAGGGGCTGACCTTATTGACTATCTGTGTAATTATCAACAGGCTCTCACTTGTGTAAGCTGATGAGGGAAGCGAGAATGGGGATTCACAAAATTCAGATAACTATGAAACAAAATTATTTTTCAACAGCTATAAATTCCTTCGTGGTGGTAGTGGTGGTGTGATTTTTATTTTCATTCCCTGTTACTGTCCTAACAAACAGAGTTATAGACTCAGTACGTCAATTTATCCCTTTAGTTTAATTGGTATGCCATTGGAAGAGATTCTAACATAAATAGGAAAAATGATTAAAAGTGCAGAGTAAATAAGGGGCAGAACAAACCGGTGAATGGAAAACTGGCAATCTCTGTGTCCACTCTCCTCTGGTATTAGGGAGGCTTACACTAAACTTCCTTCATCCAGAGAGGCCCAGCCATCAGCCCTGTCAGCGGCTGGCTGTTGTCCTGTGAAGTGGACTGGGTGAATCCTCATGATGCCGGGACTGGCGTCTTGTTACTCCTTCGATGGGGTACAGTGAGGAGAGAGCCAGTGTCCAGAGCATGCTTTGTAAAGAAAAGCTGCCCCTGGGCTCAAATATTGGCAACTTATAGTATGGATGGGGCAAGTTCTGCTACCTCTTGAACCTCTTTTTATGATCTTTAAAATGGGTTTAATAGTACATGTCATTCCAGCGCTGCTGTGAGGACTAGAAATAACACGTGCAAATAATAAACGCAAAGTCCACCGGGTGGGACGTGGCCCGCGTTCAGTGTTCATGGTTATTATTCACTTGCATGCTGTCCAGCTCAAGACGATGCAGACAGCTGCCTCGGTTACATTCTAGCTTTGCTCTCCTTTCATGTAACATTCCCCAAATGAAGTTGAAGTCATTCACTTAGAAAAAAAAGTTCTCCCTGGATTGAGGGAGGCCAGCTTCTGGGTTCAGTCCATGAGCACCTCTGCTTTCAGCCCGGCCCCAGTGTGTTACTCCATCTACTCCAAGCACCTCCAAGGCCAGGGCGCTTCAGGGCAAACTCAGGAGCACAGAGTCTGTCCGCTAGTCCAGCCTCTGACTCCTGCCCCACCCTCCCTCTGGGCTAGTCTGACCTCTGTTTTTCACTCCACATAATATTTGGCATTTTTATCACCAGGGTTTAGGCAATTGGGTAAAACCGCTGGGCCAGAACTAGGCACTATTTCCGAGGAGTTTCCCTTAGTGACCTGCTTGACACTGCTGGGTGGGAGTGGGTGGTTTTGACAGCTGCAGGGAGAGGTGCTGTGTCCTGAGGTGGGATGGGTGATGAATACACCATAAATCCCCCGTCGGCCTAGAGCATAAATCTGAGGGCTGCACAAGTTTCGAGGCAAGGAAATTGGAACCATGAAACCAGGTAAACAGACCTGAGTCAACAGGAGCAAAGAAACAGCTCTGTGGTTCTGCCAGCCACAGCCGTGAGCTGGGTTTCCAGAGAGCGGGACGGCTGACTTTTTAGGAGTCATCTTTGATTTTTATGGTTTTGTGAGGGCTGGGAAAGAAAATAAATGCAGGCGAGGGTGGGACTCCTTGCAATGTCCGAGGCAAGTGCTCACAGTGCCAAAGTACCTGGCAGAATTTCCAGGGTGGCTGGATGCTGTTGGTTCTTTCTCCCTCCAAAAAAATGAGGAAAAGATTGCTTAGCTGCTCCTCAGGTCAGTGACGGGCAGGTCCTATGGTGTAAGCGCAAGGCTGCAGGTCAGAGCACCCAGACTCTGGGCCCTGCTGTGCCATTATTAGGCTGCATGATTTTTAGGCCTCCTGAATAATATGAAGTTCAACCTCCTCATTTTCAAACTGGACACAATATTCATACCTTACCTACCTCAGAGATCTAATGATATTGTAGATATTATATTTCTGGAAACCTCTTTCCTTGTGAGGCTTGCAGAATATGTATGGATAATTATTCCTAGCAGTTATCAGTTCCTCCATACTTTTTAGTACTCGACATAGTGCTTGCTAGGTGATCTCTACGATGGGCTTCATATTTTGTAGGGCCCTCAGAAAATTAAACATATGAGTCTCATTGGTTAAAAAGAAGACAAAGGTGTGGTTAAAATTATTAAAATTAAAAACTGAAGTTCACAACACTGTGTTGGATATTTGAAAGCTGCTAAGAGGGTAGATCTTAAAAGTTCTCATTACCAGAAAAAATAATATGTGCGGTGATTGATCTTAACTAAAGTTATTGTGGTAATCACTTTGTAGTCTAAACATAATTGAATAATTATATAGTACACCTAAAACTAATACAATTCTCCATGCCAATTATATCTCAATTAAACCATTAAAAAATAATAAGACATTTCCTTTTTATCCATGAGCTCTCTTGATGTCTCAGTGTGGTTGTTTATTCATTATTAATGTCGCACTCCCTTGGGCACCAGGATACTTCTTTGGTGAGGGCAGACTTTGTAAGTTCTTAGAGCTCTGTTCTACAATTCTCTGAGTGTGCGCGTGTGTGTGTGTGTGGTGTGCATGTGTGTGGTTTTTCCAGCTGCTGGGCATATGCACATGTCTGACTGACATGAATAAGTCATACCCGGCATTTCTCTTTCTTCAACCCAAGGTGGACAGGGACAGATCCTTGGTGGAGGAGAGGCTGGTCCCCACTGATCTCCCTGATAAATGCACACTGGTTCTGCTAGCCTGTGGTCAGGATGGCATTGGAATAAGCTGCTCTTGGGAGCACACTGGCCCTAGTCTTCCCTGTGCCAGCACATGTTGGGAGAGAAAGGACAATAGCAATTATCAGGTAGGAGTGGAGAGAGAGATATCAGGTGGGATCTAGGGCATCACGTAGTGGAGAAGACAGTGGCCAAAGGCCCATCTCTGGAAGACACTGGGAGGCACAGCCACAGCTCAACTGAGGCTCTAAGTTGTTGATATTCACTGGCAAAACAAATTCCCAGATTGTGAGTGTAGAGCATTAAACCTCAGGTGAGGAGTGCCCTTCTGGGTACCAGGCCCTGTGCCACTCTGCAGGTCCCCTACCTTGCAGCCAGTTCAGATGATTATTTCTTGAGGCCTGAGGGGGCTACTCTTACTCCCATTCAGCAGAAGAAGCAACTGAGACTTACGTAGCTTGCATGAAGCTCTGTGAAAAGCAAAAGCAACATCTGAGTCCAAGGTATAATTGAAATGATTCCAACAGAATTCTCTAGTATTATGGATGTGAGATTTGGGTTGTTGAGTCACACTTAAGTTTTTCCTAAAATAGTAAACTGTTACTCAGATTCTGCTAACTGCTTCAAGAGTAAATTCAGGTGCAACCTCTTTACAACTAAGTAACATCATGAGGAGTCCATTGTTTGAGGAGGAATCTAACACAGTATTACTAAAAGTTTCTCACCCATTTATACACACTCACTCAACCATTCAGTAAATATTGAGCACCTCTCATAAGCGAAACTTTTGTCTGACATTTTTTTTTTTTTTGGGAATACAAATGTGATTAAGGTCTGCCCTCTCCCATTTAGGAATGTATGTGTTGTCAGGAAACTTGTACACGTTAGCCTTAACGCAGGGTCAAGAGTGAAAAAAGTCGTAACGGAGAAGCAACAACTGGGGAAAGTTCGGGAAGTCAAAAAAGAGGCCTCTTGGAGGTGACTGAGCAAAGCTTCCCTGGTTGGGTGCTATTTCACTTGGCCTTGGAGAATGGGTAGGACTTTACATAGTGGGATGTAAGGAGAGAACACAAGGGCAAATCCATAGCGCTTGGAAAAGATGCAGCCTATTCTGGGAACTGTCTTTTTTCCAATTTAAAGTATGTGTTTTTCATGTCCTTACTTGACCCTGCTCCTTGGCCATGTTTGATCTAGAGTTATGTTTCTCTGGGATTCTTTTTCCTGTTTTTACAAACAGGTTCTGTGGATGAGTTATCTCGTTTGGTTGTAGAAGCTGCGGGCTAGTACTCCCAGGAACCTTAGGGGGTAGTTTTCTTGACACGTGGGGGGGGGTGCGGGGGGTGCCATAATCACAGAGAGAATGAAGCAGAGGCAACCTT